CTATGTCATTTTCCAGGAAGTCATATTTATAAAGAACAGAATCACAAAGTTGAGAAGAGATTCCACAAGCCATCTAATCCAACTGATGCCTGAAAAGAGTCCCAGCTACAACATACCCAATACATAATCACCTAGGTTTTGCTTCAAGACCTGCAGTGGGGGAGAACCCACCATATTCCAAAGCATCACAGATCACTTTTGGATAGTTTTAATTGTTAGAAAATTTTTTGTCACATCAGGACAACAAGACACTTCTCTTTGCTGGGGGTGGGAGTGAACTTCTGAAAAATTCAGCTATTACATGACAAACATTTCCTTGTTTAGCTTTCTGTTCATCTTGCTACCTATTGTATTTACTTTAAAATGCTTTTCTTCTGACTATCTTTTAGCCATTCCCCCCACCCCGCAAGAAACTGGTGCATTTTGTGGAAGATCATCAAGCCATTGCTTCTCTAATTGTCCCTGGATAGGGGGGGATAAAAATGATTTTATGGGGCAGCTGTACAGGGAGATGGGAAAAGCTCAGTATAGTGTTTGGAGCACTGAGTGTATTGCCAGTAGGATTAATCTTTGTTTTTCTTTTAATTATGATTTTGATTTATTGGAGTCCAATAGAACAATATCAGTGACGGGAGAAATAATTACAGTCTCTCTTGAAATTCTATCCTGGAAACACACCAGGGACCAGTTACTGCTTGGTGCCAAAAAACACATTAGAGCTGTTTTCTTCATGTTGTTTTTTAAAATACTTGTTTGAAATGCTAGACTTTTTGATACTGAAAGAGTGAGCATTGTTTAAGTGGGTGGAGCACTTTTTTGATCACCTCGGTCTAAACTCCTCAGCTCAGGGGTGGCCAAACTTGGGTGACCATCCAATTCTCCCTCTCTTTGGAACTTTGAGAGCCAGGAGACCTGCCTATCTGTACTTGTATTTTTGATGGTTGTTTGCCCACCCTTGATCCCTGCCCTGGGGGCTCTGGGGACAGACTGAGGAGATGGATTTACAGTTTGAAAGGTGTGGTTTATATTTGAATTTCTCCTTTTCCAGTCTCAGGTTTGGAACTTGAGCACCTTTCATAATTCCTTCCAGCTCTAACATTCCATGCTTTTATGTTCCCAGGAAAGCACATACCAATCTGTGAGCTCGGTGCTTTGATTCCTTTTAACCTCTTGTTAGTGCTTCCAGAGCTTCCATATGAACCAACGAGAAGGTATTGAGGTGTAATGGAAAGAGCATTGGTTTGGGAGTCATTGGACCTGAGTTCAAATTCCGACTCAGTGACATATTCCTGTGTGACCTTGAACAAATAACTTCATCTCTTTGTCTCAGTTTTCTCATTTGTAAAGTGAAGGGATTGATGCTAGGCATGGTGGTGAATTTCTATAATCACAGGTACTGGGGAGGCTGAATCTGGTGGTTCTCTTGAGTTGGGGAGATCTGAGCTGCTAGAGAATAAACAGGTCCTCACAAAGTCTGTCATTAATGTGGTAAGCCCTCAGGATCAGTGTGATACAGTAGAAGGAGGAATGACTTTGGTGTCAGAAAGTCTGAGTTCAAATTCTGCTCTGTCAGTAGCGGTGTGATTTTTGTATAAGTCATAAACAGTTTCTCTGGACCTCAGGTGTGACATCTGTCAAAATCTTAGTTGTAAATCTAAATCTGTGCCTAAAAGGAAAGGAATTTCTGCTCTGGGCAGGAAAGAGACATGGCCCATGCCGAATCCCACCAAAGTGTGCTAGCTGCTCTTCCCCCATCTTCCCCCCACCCCCTGCTGAGATCAGCCTGGGTCTTCTCTGTATGGGTACTCTCTGCATTCCCTCAGCTCACCTAGAGCCAGCAGTGAACTTTCAAAAGGCTTTTATTGTCGTTTAAGGAAAACAGGTAAAGAAGTATAACAACGGACTTACAGAGAGTTTCAGAATGATTGAGTTACAGAACCCAGGAACCCTATCCTAAAATCCCTGAATCTCAACAAAGATTGAATGGTATGAAACTTCAGAGACTAAACTAGCGTTCTTCTGTTTCTTTAGCCTCTGGCCTGGCTCCCTGTGGAGCTGCGGCCCTCCCTGGGTGTGTGATCACCCCACTGGTTAGTCCCCAAATGACTTTTTCCCCATCTCCCATCAGGTCACAGGGAAGCTATTGGCACTTCCCATGCATCTAGGGTCCAAGCTTGTGAGGGTTATGTTATCTGTTCCATGTGAGTCTTCCATATTAACATAGCTCACCCACCTCTCAAGAATGAATTTAATTGAAGTATCTTCCCCCTCCCCTCCACAAGGGAAATATCCAAGGATTATCACCTTGAAGTTATAGGACATATAGCTGAGGTCTTCTTTTGTGGTGGGAGGGAGGGAGAGAGAGAGACAGACAGACAGAGAGACCCAAGAGGCAGAGTGAGAGGAAGAGAGACACAGAAACAGAAGAAAGAGACAGGCAGAAACAGAGAGTGACAGATACAGAGAGACAGAAACAGAGAAACAGAGATATAGAAAGAATGCTTTAGTAATAATAGCTAGCATTTATGTAGCACGTAATATATGCTGTGCAGTCTGTTAAATGCTTCTTACAAATATTAACTCATTTGAGCATTGAGGTAAGTGTTATTATCCTCCTTTTACAGTTGATAAAGGCAGAGGATCTGCCCAGAATCACCCAGCTAATAAATGTGAGGCTGGATTTGAATTCAAGTCTCCATGACTCCACCGCAGTGCTCTAACCACTGTGCCACCTAACTGTCTTTGTAGCTTAACTGTGAACCTCAATACAGCTTCAGTTCAGGCTCACGGTTAGGTCTAGGGATACTGGTCTATGGATTCCTTTTTGTGTTTCTATGGTCCTCTCCTTTATGGGAAATACTAGCACAGAATGCAATAAAGATCCGCTTATCTTCATCTGGGGACAAAACATATTATAAAAGCACATGTTGCAAATTTAAAAAAAAAAGTTTAAAAAGTTTAAAAAATCCCTGCCTGAGTGTAAGTGATGCCAGTTTATCAGACAGTGATGGGACGGGGGAGGAGGAGGGGGAAATGTAAAGGGGATAAATTCACCAAGTTCCAGTAGCAGCAACGGTCAGGAAAATTGCAAAATTCTTTCCAGGCAGATCGTTCCTTAAGTAGGTCAGTGAGGCAGACAGGGATCTAATTGCTAGTGATCATATTCAATTAAGTGTAGCATTGACCTTCACTTGGAATTGGCTGGCCACTGGTGCACCTCTAAGAAATGCGCTGGACTCAGAAGTTCCTCAACTTTCCCGGTCCCCAACAACTTCTATTTCTCATGCTCCTTCAGCCCCTCCTTCTAGCTGAGAAAAACTATACTTCCCATCATCCCCCATGCCAATTAAGGGCTCTGCCTGAGTGATGATTAAATATAGTTTGCCCCCAATAGCAAAAGAATGGGTCGTTTCTTAATAGCAATTCCCCAGCTAATGTTATAGCAACAATAGCAATAGGGCAGGAGTAGGGAGCTCTAACCATGCTGCAGGAAGCAGTGGTCTGGGCAGAAATCACCAGATCTTCTCAAGTGAAATCTCAAGGTTAGTTAGGTCTGCTTTATCTGCTGTTTTGTTGTAGAGTAGAAAGTGTCGTGTACTTAGATTTATGAAAGCTGAGTTCAAATTCCAACTTAGTTCCAGTGTGGCCACAGACAAGGCATACATCCTTTCTGAGCCTCAGTTTTCTGCTCTTTCATATAGAGATAATCTTATAATACCTACTACTTTACTGAGCCATGGTGAGGAAAGCACATTTCCAAACTTAAAATTCTGCATAAATGTGAGTTGTTATGAATACCCTCAAATTATAGGTGCCTGGACATGTAGGGCATGAATGTCTCTTAGATGTTTAGAACTGTAGTTTTGGTGACCTACAGGACATTTCACATCTTGTGGAGCTCTTGTTCCACTCCCACCTACTTAGCATTTTAAAAATCCTCCCCCCAATGAACTGGAAGAGCCCCACTACATTTTATCAGACTCTAGTCAGGGATAAAAAGAGTATAGCCTTGCTAGAGATGAAAGCATTGACATCATCAATTTTTTTTTTTTCTGAACTGTGATTTCGTTGAAGTAGAAAGTTTCAGGTGAGGGAGCTCCTTCTACCAATGCAACTTTTTGTCTTAAAGTAATATGGAAATATGTTTTGCATGATTTCATGTGTAAAATTGATATCATATCACTTGCCTTCTCAGTGGGTGGGGGCAGGTGTGAGAGAGAGGGGGAGAATTTGGAACTCAAAATTTAAAAGAAAAGAATGTTAAAAATAAATAGATAATAAAGTTTTAAAAAATGGTGCCTGGACCACCAAGATGTTAATTGAGTTGCCCTGGGTTGGGCAGGCAGTGTGTGTCAAAAGTGGGAGGGATCTAGCTCTGTTCCCAGGGCTTTATCTACCATACCACTTTGCCTGTCATTGTTGTTATCATTTTAATAATAATAATAATGATAGCTAGCACTTATATGACACTTTAAGGTTTTCAAAGCGCTTTACATATGTTAGCTCATTTCGTTCTCACAACAGCCCTGTGAAGTAAGTGCTATCATTATCCCCATTTTACAGATGAGGAAAGCAGGCTAAGGGAGGTTGATTAATTTGCTCAGGATCAAATAGCCACGAAATATCTGAGGCAGGGTTTGAATGCAGGTTTTCATGACTTCAAGCCCACTACTCCGTCTACTACCCCACCTGCTTGCTTTTCATCTTCTTCGAGACGATGGATGAGGGGGTCTGATATGGCTTTTCTCAGACGAACATCTTGTTTCTCGAGGCAAACTGCTTTTCAGGGGTGCAGACTCTTCATCTTCTTGTGACCTGAGCACAGAAGCTGCTTGTTCCCTGTGTGACCTTGGGGAGGTCACATCCCTTTCTCATTCTTCTCTGTAAAATGAGGGATTTGGGCCAGATCATCCCTAAAGGCCCTTTAAACCTCAACACCATCAGAGAGACCCTGTGATTACTGACCACAGTCTATCAGCTGTCAGTCCAGCCCTGTGTCACTTGTCCATCGGCTCTGCTCATCAGAATTATGGAGCTGGCGAGCGGTTTTTACAAGATCTTTCCCTTCCCAAATTATCATTCCAAGTGCATTCTGAATTTCAAATAACTGCCATGAAAATTCTGTCAGAAAGAGGAAGTAATTTGCTCAGAGTCACTTGAGCATCTGGGTAGTAGTAGAGTCAAGACTAGAAGCCAGGTCCCGTGGTTCCCTAGGCATGGCTTCTTCCAGTCTGTCCAGTCCTCAGAAGCACGGGTGCTGGAAAGAGCACAGGATTAGTGATCGGGTGACCTGGGTGAGGGTCCTGGCTCTGGCATGTGTTTCCTCTGTGACCTTTGGCAAATCTGAGCCGCGGTCCCTTTCTTTGATAAATTGAAGGGCCTGCTCTGCATCATCTCTAAGGGTTTTTCCAGACTAAGCCATGCAACTTGTCTTTCTGTCTAGGATTCTGACCTCTGTTGTTCACAGTGCCAGCTTCCCTTGGTGGGGAGATTACGCTTGGGCATGTCCCTGGTGGTGGGAAATTCTTTTAATCTGGGACGGAGGAGAGCTCATTGAGGCTAGATGAGATGTTTCTAGATTCCTAGAGCTCCCACAAGCCCAGATTGCTGCTGGCTCACATCCAAGAATTAAGAACCCAGTTGGAATTTTGGTGCATCCTGGGACTCGGGGAATGCCTCTCCTCTTACACTTTGGTCCTGATTTTCAGAAGGGGATGTGGGCCTGGGGATAAATTTGCCCAGTTGGGATGTGAGCTAGTTACATAATATTGGGTTGGGGTGGGAAGTAGAATGACAAAGCTTTTTCTTAGAAACTTATCTAGGACAAAGGTCTAAACAAAGGTCTTACCAGGTACAAATGATGGGTCCAGGCCTGAGACAAGTCAAGTCACCGTACATTTATCAAATGCCTACTATGTGCCAGGCACTGTACTGGAGATACAAAGAAAGGCAAAAAGTGTTACTGCTTTCAAGGAGGTCACAGTGTAATGAAGGAAAAAACATGAAAATAATTATGCTCAAACAAGATACATAGAGAATAACTTGAAGGTGATCTCAGAGAGAAGGCAATGATTGCATTAAACCATCAACTGCCTTTGCCTGTGGAATTCCTCATCCCCTGCTGCTTAGCTGGTAAGTGTGGTCTTCTCTGGGAGAAGGACCAGCCCATGATGGGGAAGTAAGCCCAGGAAGATAGGGAGATTTGGGGGAGATGATTTAGGCAGGGGTGGGGAGCCTGCGACCTTGAGGCCATATGTGGCTCTCTAGGTCCTCAAGTTCAGCCCTTTGACTGAATCTAAACTTCACAGAATAACAAAGGGTCGCACTTGAGGACCAAAGAGCCACATGTGACCTTCAGGCCAATGTTCCCCACCCCTGAAGGGGAAAGCCCAGTACGACCAGAGCTAGGGTGCATCACAGGTGCATGTATCTTGACCTGTTGCTATCCCCTCACCATGCCCTGATTCATGTGATTATGAGTACCTTTTAAAAAAATTAAAAAATATTATCAGACTTAGTGGGAAGATGCAATGCCATGACTTCAAATTGAAGTTTTCCACTGATAGAAAAGAAATCAGCTTCAGGAAATCATTTGGCCTCTCTGGGCCTCAATTTCCTCTTCTGAAAAGTGAAGGAGGTTGAACTAGATGACCTCTTAATTCCCTTTGAGTTCAAATATGCTATGACTCAGAGAAAGAGAATGCATTCTTAAATGTGTGTCAGGGATAAGAGCATAATGTTCAGGAAAAGATTTTCATTTTCTCACTCCGGAGTCTTTGTTTGAGTCCAGGATGGAGCTAGGTTGGTACAGAGACAAATTGTAGAGCTGAGGAGCAGAAAAGCTGTAACTCGTGGGGCTAGATACCGAATGCTTCCCATTATACATGGTCCGATGGGGTGGTTTCACCCAGTATGCCATTTGCATCCTTCGTATTTGTGCTGAATGAGAAAATGACTTGTTTTAAATGGCTGAACCTCCATACAAAAATGGCACACAGATTTGAGGTTGTGGATGTCTGGCTTTCCCTGGTTTTTGGCCCCCAAAATCGTGGTTGATATTTGTAAAGATAATAATGATGATGATGATAAAAAAGTCAGTGTCACCATGAATTATCTCCAGAGAGCTTTTGTAGGAGAGGACTTTAATTTTTAAAGCTGATGAAGTGGGGGTAGAGACAGGACTGGGGTAGGCAAGGTAGACAAAAAGCCACTTGTGGACAGTGTCACACAGAAGGAAGAATTTTCAGATTCAGAGGGAGAACAATTTCAGACTTTGGGGTGAACAAGTGCTTTGTATCAGCTCTGTAACCAAGGCACTTCACATGAGTGCAAGCTGCTTTAAAGAGAGGTCTGCAACAATCTTCCACTTACACCCAATCCAGCTTGTCCATCCACTGATCTGGGCATGACAGGTCTGGCGGGTCAAAGTCCAGAGAGGAAGCAGATGGCACTTTTTGGAAAATAAGGTGTCACAGGGAACTAGGGCCATACTTCACCCAGCAATGACTACATCAGGTCATAGGGGATGCAGTTTTATAATCAGACAGTTAGGCTACATCAGTCTGCCATAGGAGTCTACGACACCAAAAAGTTTAAGAACTCTTCCCTTAGATTATAAGCTTCTTGAAGACAGAAACCATGTCTTTGTTGTTCAGTCATTTTTCAGTTACGTCCGACTCTTTGTGACCCCATTTGGGGTTTTCTTGGCAAAGATACTGGAGTGGTTTGCCATTTCCTTCTCCAGCTCATTTTACAGATGAGGAAACTGAGGCAAACAGGGTTAAGTGACTTGCCCAGGGTCACACAGCTAGTAAGTGTATAAGGCTAGATTTGAACTCAGAAAGATGAGTCCAGGCCTGGCACTCTATCCACCTTGCCACCTAGCTACCCACATCACATCTAATACTTTTTAAAATCTCTCACAATGACTGACACAATACTTCATACACAGTAGGTAATCAATAAATGTTTGTTTTGAGTTCCTTAGGAGGCATTTGAAATTACTGCTCCAGGATTTGATTGACAGGCTTAGTTTGGCCATTTGACTGGATGGTTTGCTGTGGAAAGATGGAGAACTAGCAAGGCCTAAGGTTAATTTTAAGGGTAACTGGGTCCCCTGATTAAGTTGTAGAGGCATTAAACATGATCTAGGACTTATTTGGGAAATCTGAGTTGTAAAAAGAAAAGACTTCCCAGGAATAAAGAATCATTTTAATCCAGGTTGTCTATTACAGTGAGTACAGTAATATAGTGTATCCTGGGGGTGGGGTGTGGGAGGTGGTTAATAATAAAGTCGAGGGAATGATGGCTGAGAGCTTTTTGTAGTGACTCCAGCAGCCCTTATGGTATCTTTCAGGGGTCTGGTTTCAAGAGAACCGCATGTGTAGTCAATATCCTGATGAATTAAGAGGGGCCAGAAGGGGTGAGTTAGTATTTCTTAAAATCCCCAGTATCCCACCAATGAGCTGTTGTGACGGTGGAGAGCTGTAGCCATAATGGCCATCTGGGCTGATGGGCTCTGGCAGACTATGTCTCTGTTAGACTGCAAAGTCAGACATTTCAAGCTCTAATCCCTGTAGATCTGTCAAATGTTGCTATGTGTAATTGGCCTCATCAAGGGAAGGTTTGATGTGAGAGAATGACATGTTGCTGACTTTTCTGGGTAGGAAATCATCCAAGGCTAGGCGGGGGCTGGTTCTGGTTTGTCAATAGTATGTTTGCTCATCTTCTTGAAGTAATATATCTATTTCATGCCTCATCGGCCCCCTGATCAGATAAGTAACCACAAGATGGAAATGGAAGAAGAAAAAAAAGTAGCCAGCAGAGCTTGGCCAGGTTTCAGACATAATATTGATCTGAAGTGTTCCAGTTTGTGGTAGATACAGTGTCGGCTGCTTTTGAGCTATTCCTTGAAGGCTACTTTGATGGTTAAGCATTCCTGGTCCCGAATATTATAGTTTTGTTTTGCTAGGATTAACTGCCATGAATAGAAGATACATAGGTGCCATAAGTGGTTGGACCTTGGCACTGAGACAGGATGGTCCCAGTACTTTGGATGGGAACATTGGCCTCTTCAAGATATTGGGTTGAGTTGGGGTGGGTCAGGGTCTTGGCAGAGACCCAGCTGCTTGAAAGCTGCTCTTCATCTGCTCAAGCTGAATCATCGTAAGAGAGTGCTGAAAGCATCTCTTATTTTACAGATGAGGAAACTGAGGCTCAGAGAGGGTAAATGACTTGTCAAGGTAATGTAGCTAGTAAGCATGTCAGGTGTATCACAGGAGCTATAATAAGAGAAGAGCCTGCATAACAGTGACAAGTTGCAAACTCCTAGAAATCATTGACTTCCTTTGGGTCTCTGTTGGGGCTGCCATATTAGTGATAGCCATTATCTTATCTATGTGCATTTTAACCCCTTGGGGGAGCTGCCAAGAATTCCATTTCTTCTTGTTTGAATATATATATATATGTATATATATATATATACACATACATATGTGTGTGTATGTGTATTTATATATATGTGTGTGTGTGTATGTGTATTTATATATATGGGTGTGTATATATATTTTTGTGTATATATATATATATATATATATATATATATATGGAGAGAGAGAGAGAGAGAGAGAGAGAGAGAGAGAGAGAAAGAGAGAGAGAGAGAGAGATGTAGCACCTACAGAGTCTTTCTTCTCTCTTGGGAACAGTACAGGTTTCCTTGGTTTTAGATATTCACAGCAGAAATGATGCTTAAAACCAAGGCAGAGGGAACACAGTCTTGTTTCTGGATCAGAAAGCAGCCTGAGTATGCCATTTTTTTTTTTCCATACCTGAGACAGTGTTCCATGTCTTTGACTTTGACTTTCATTCTTTGTGTCTGTCTTTAGCACTAGCCTGAAACCCAAATTCCATTTCAGTGCTTGCATCCCAAGACTCTTCTTTCCTTGTGCACCCTGCCTGGGATCCTCGGGCACCAACCTCAGCCTATATACTTGGTCTCTGAACCTTTGTCCTGGTAGCAAGGACTGATTTTAGTTTAGCTTCTTCATGCTCAGGTTTCACAGCGATCCTGTCTTCCTCTTTTGATATGAATTTGCTTCTCCCCCATATCTGTGATCTGCGTGCTGATGTATTCATTCTCAGCTAGTTCAGCTTGACTCCTTATTCTGGTCCTCCAGGCAGATCTTGTACTACAACAGGGCTGTTTATAACCTATCTTGGTGCATAGAGACCAAGCTTATGATGCTTTTGAATGGGAAGGATGATTAGGCTAGTCTGTAGGGTTTGCCAGAATGCTTTAAATGTATTAAAGTCATTTGCCGTCTCTGAACCTCAGTTTCCTCATCTGTAAAATAAGAGATGCTTTCAGCAGTTTCTACAGTGATTCAGCTTGAGCAGATGAAGAGCAGCTTTCAAGCAGCTGGGTCTCTGCCAAGACCCTGGCCCACCCCAACTCAACCCAATATCTTGTAAAGGCCAATGTTCCCATCCAAAGTACTGGGACCATCCTGTCTCAGTGGCAAGGTCCAACCACTTATGGGACTGTAAACAAATAGTTATTCAGCTCCACAAGCCATCATTGACAAAGTATAGACGCAGAGTACTGCAAAGTTCAAATGCTCTGTCAATATCCCAATATTGCATGTAAAAGGGTGTTTTCTCCTCATCTTTTATGCTCATTTTTAAAAAAAAAATTTTTTTTTAAAGAAATGCCAGATTATTTTCTTTATAAAGTAATCCCAAGGCACAAGTTCCAAGGACAATGTTTTAGTGAGGTCTTAATACATGTTATATGTCTTATGGCTTAACCTTGAATTTTTTTATTAAGCACAAATAGAACTTAAAAGCTTCTTCATTATTAAAGGGCCAAGTCAATTTCTAGCCTTGAGAAATTGATTTAGAGTAGGGAAGGACCTTAGAGATCATCTAGTCCA